TAGTTTGGAAAATAATGTGTCGTGTAGGAACCAAAACATACTATTTTTAATAATAAAGATTAAAAGAAAAAATTCGTTTAAGTATAGAGATTGAAAAAACAGTTAAACTTTTAATTTATTTTTTAAGGCTTAATTTATCCAATTTTATGTAATAATATTTCATTCGTAAAATTTCCTTTTCACCTTATTATTTCAAAACTCCCACTCCTCTCATTTCTTTCCAAGGTTACACTATTTCTCTTGTATTCTTGTTAGGTATGTGCCCTGGTTTTATATAACAAAATTCTTATTGTGTACAGTAAAAAGTCTTCAAGGGCATCACATATTTAGGGCAATTCATTCCTTTATCTATTTGTTCATGTTTTCAGCATACAAGAAGACCACGAGTTGTGCGTTGATATTATTTTTATAAATTTAAATTTTGTAACAATATTTTTAACTATATAAATTATGATTTAAATTTATAATAAATAATTTAAATTTGATATAAAATTATTTTTAATTATTAAAATTCAATTTAGATACAGAGACAAAACAAAACTAACTTGAGACGATTGAAAGATTTTTTAACATTTGAGTTCGTGTTCCATCTTATGATAATTGATAAGGTCCCAAACAAATTAAGCATGGCTAGCAGTTCTTAAGTTCTATGATTCGCGAATCATGGAGAATGCGGCGATTGTGGAGCTAAATAGAAACTGTGCCAAGACAGTGGAAGAGATAGTGAAAATCGAGAGAAAAATCTTTCCCAAACACGAATCTCTGGCTTCATTCTTTCACGATGAACTCAGAAAGAAGAACAGTGGGTTGCTTTATCTTCACATTGATGGCCAACTTGCAGGCTATGTCATGTATTCTTGGCCTTCTTCCATGTACGCCTCCATCACCAAGCTCGCAGGTTCCAACCCCACTTCGTTTTTTTTGCTTATATCTATGTCAAGAAATAGTGGTTGCATTCAAAATTTCAAATTTCGTCTCTCCAATGTTAGTTTTTGTGTTATCGTTCTAAGTTCAAGTTGTGCCCGTGAGCTGTTTGATGAAATTGCCCAATTAAAAAGAACAAAGCTTTTTTACTACTTGTAAAGATGAGACTGATATGAGTTATGTTTTGACAAAATTCTCGCTTATGTAAGATAAGAAAGTAACATAAATTGAGTTCCTTTCTGTTGACGTGCAAGTGCGAATGAGAAGAGATAGACAAAATCTCTTAAATATGATGTTTTTATGATTTTGCATTAAGATGTGATATTAAATTTAGTTGTGTGATTGGTTCCTGATTCATTAATAGAGATTTCCTCATTGTTAACACCCTCTTATTCTCAATACTACCCAGTTCCCACAAGTAAAAATCAATTATTGCATTTTAGGTTTTGGAAAAGATAGACGAAAGAACTTCCATAAAAGTTACAATAGATTAATGGATTTTAACTCTTATTTTCTCCTATAAGTACTTATATAAATATTTATTGAAATAGGACCATGGTCTTGAAACCCTCAACTAGTGAAATACTTGTATAGAATCTTCAATTTTTTGGTTATTCACAACATGGGTATGCCATATTTTTGGGTTTTGTTAGTGAAGGAGCAATGGAGGAGGCAAGGCCATGGAGAGGCTCTGTTGAGAGCAGCAATTCAGAAATGCAGAACAAGGAAAGTTTCTCGCATAATGCTTCATGTGGATCCCTTGAGGACTCCTGCTGTGAGTCTTTACAAGAAACATGGTTTCAAAGTTGACACTTTGATTGAAGGCTACTACTCCTCTGATAGAGATGCGTATAGAATGTACTTGGACTTTGATTCCAGCTGAAGGAGATGCTAAATAAACATTTTAGCATGATCTGTGGTTAATTTAAAGAACAGTTTTGTAACAGAGATTGTTTAAGGAGTCATGAAAGACAAGCATTTAATATAGAGGGCTTGTGGTTTTACTTTTGTTTTCTCAATAAGAAATGATTGGAATCAAAATTGAAAAGATTTATTAGAGTATTCTTACATATTTTAATACATATACCATGGTTTTTCATAAATTTTCATTTGTTAATTCTTTAACTACTACCTTAAGTTAAAGGTAAAATCCTTAATTAATAATATAAAATGTATTAAATGATATAAAATTTTAATATGATGTTTATTAGGTAAATCTCTGTTGTCAGTCTCAACATGTTATTAATATCCTAACTAATTTTTGTTCTGATTTTAATGAAAAATAATAAATTAAAATTATTTATATCCAACTACAATGATACGAACTCTCAAATTTTGTATTTATTAATTATTTATTTCATCATAGTACAGTACGAAAAAGAAAGTGTGAAGAAAAAAAATCTTTTATATTTACCTTACAATTTATCACATATATATAGTTCCATCCGAAAAATTAATAAACTGGAATTCCTTTTCAAACTGTTTTTGTTGTAAATAAAAGAGAAGAGAAATTCAAAACATAGAGAATTAAAAATCCAACAAATCGACTTTGTTGCTGCCCAGGATCGAACTGGGGACCTTTAGTGTGTAAGACTAACGTGATAACCACTACACCACAGCAACTGTTGATCTCTCTAATTAAACTAAAATTATATAATCTATAAAATAGGATTATGACGTCATAATAGCCTGAAATACTGAGGGCCATAAAACAAAATAAAAAACTAATAACCTCCTCGTTCTCTGCGAATCAGTTGATACGCGTTCGAGCCCTAGATTTCAATCTAGGGTTTCTCCGCAGCATCTTCGAATTTTGTTTTCATTAGATTCAGGGGGTTATAACATTGTTTGTATTAATTAGTGAAATTTGCAAGGATAAGAATTGGATAAAAGAAAATGGCGAGGGTGTTGAGAAGCTGCATTCAATCGATGTTGAAGCTGGCGAACTCGGTGATTGGGATGGCGGGGCTAGCCATGATTCTATACTCCGCTTGGATGATTAGGGTTTGGCAGAGGCAGATGGGTGAACTTCCCTTTGGTCACGATTCTGATTACCCATCTCCGTGGTAACAAAAACAAAACTTCCGTTTTTTTCCTAGCCCCTTTTTATCAGTGTAATAAGATTTGAAGGTCCTGGATGCGAACGTTGATTGGAGCACATAAAAAAGTGTTTTTTTTTTAAAGAATATTATAAATTATTATTTGGTTTTATGATGCTAATGGATTTTTTTTAACCTTTTGCTTTTGTTATTAAATTTGTTAAATGGAAGATAATGTTTTGGGAAACCAAAGGGGAGAATTGTTCATTGGGGAGAGTTTTGTTTGGCATTGTAAAGCTGTTGAGTTTTTCATTCTGTCTACTTCCAAGCTGTTAACGGAATTAAGAGAACCAGGTATTTCAACCGAGTTATGCATACACCTTATTTTTTGAGAAGGGCAGGGGTTCCGGCTTAGGATATGATAATGTTCAAGGTTTCAAATTGCAGTCTCCTTGATATTGTGGAAAATTTATTGGGGTAGTGGAACCTCTAAAAACCTTGATGTTAGACGTGGGCCTTTTTTTTTAAAACCTTGATGTATCATTTTGAGAGTTGCACTGGTTGGCAACTTGGCATTTAAAATTTATATGATTCAAATCTTTCAACATGATTTGTGGGGTGAGACTAAATGCTCACTTTCGGTAACATTTTTGAGAAACAATCGTGTCCAAACACTACCTGCTAGCATGATCCATATTTACAGTTATTATATGAGTTAATCATCCATATACTGCTAGTGTAAAGTTTTTTACACTGACAACCAATCATATCTTTTAATAGTGTCATGTCATTTGCGTATTTAATTTCCTCTTATTATATCTACTGAATTGTATGAATAGATTGTGACCACATTGTATTTATTTATTTTCCTGAAATCAGGTTCATTTACACGTTTCTTGGCCTTGGAGTTATGTTCTGTGTAATCACTTGTTTAGGTCATGTAGCTGCTGAAACTGCTAATGGCTGTTGCCTGTATTTGGTATCCTTTTCTTTGGTGTACCACTCTACCATTATATTTCAATTTATGATGCACAAATGCAGGCACTGGTATCTGATACGACTTTGATGCAACCCAAGGATATGACATTTCTTAAAAATTTGGTTGCAAGTATGGCATGATACACCATAACACATATATGAAGAACTATAGATATTATAAAATAAATAAATAAATAAATAAAGCCATCATAAGATTACTCTTGATATTTTTATGCAATTTGAAATCAGGGACTTTTAATTTTAGGCGTTAAATGCATATTTAGGAAACAAATGTTGTGATTTAATAAAATAAATAAGGCTATTTTGTTTTTAAATAAGGCTATATTTAAGGTAGCAATGATTAGTTAACTATTTAAATAAGGAATTTTTTGCTGTTGAATGTATTTATCTATTAATCCCCTGTGTACTTAATGATTTTGGCACTTTTCACTTAATTTCTCTTCTAGAAAGTTTTAACCAAACAACACTAATGATTTTTCACTGCTGAAACTGATAATTTTCTGCACTGAATTAGAGACTTCTAGTTTTAATTGCTAATGCATGATAAAAAAAATAATTTCATAAAATAAATAATGATAATTATACAATATGTATTTATATCTATAATCTATAACTATTAATAAAGGCGATAAGCCTTTTTTGTTTACACATTTTAATTATAATTTATTCTAAAATTTGTTTTAATCTTTTTCAAATGAGAACGCACACTTTCAAATAAATATTCTTTTTTGTTTTGGTTTTCTTTTTAACAAGAGAGATACAAAGTTTTTCCACTAGTCATTAATAAATGCGATGCCACTTTTGGAAATTGCCTTTCATGTCCACTTTTATGTTACATGTTTGCCCCTTTTTATATTTTGTAACTACATATACATATATATATATATATATATATATATATA